CGAGCCATGGTCTCCAAAATTACCCCTCCCTCTACAGTAAGCATATTCTTCTCAGCAATAATTATTGTTGAGTCGTTCGCAGTGCTGGTTGGTTCAATAATTAGTCCACTGGTTTACTATGCTGTTGTCTCCACACACCCTGGGTCAGTCTTTTTCATCAACGCATTTTTTATGTTTTTCGGCACATGTGTTTCGTTGCGGCTGTTTTTCCTCAAACGCTACGAGAACCAGGAATCTTCTGAAAACAAAGTGGTTAGTGGTTCTCTGCAAACCATTGGTTGAAACTTTGATGAAAAATGGACGCTGTGATATAAAAGTGAATATTTTTTGCTGTACAAAGTTTGAAAATGAATTTGAAAAAAGCAAACATTTCACAGCATTCTAAAAGCTAGATTTCACTAGATTACATAGGACGCGCAATCCTAAGATTGCGGGAAAGGATAATACAACGTGTTCCTTCCAACATAAGAAACAAAACTGTCACCTAAAAGAGAACAGCCTTCTCGATCTTGTAGGTCTAAAAGCACCGTTAAAACAAGTGGATATTGGACAGCATCTTTTTGATAACCCATATTATGCCAAAGTCTATAATGACGATATGTTTCAGTTAATTGGCAGAGCCTGGTCAAGTTTTGGAATCGATCTACATACAAACAAAAAAGCTGCTTTTGTATGGAGAGAAGGAGTTCCTTTTCTCTCTTAGACTCCAGTGGCTTTTTTCTATATGCACGCGGTACTATAGGACCAAATGTACCGGTCTTGTGCTTGCGTTTTTCTGATTGGCCTATTTCCATCCACAACTGGGTATTTATTTTCTATCTTGTTCTTTTTGGACCGTTATTCCGACGTTTTATACGATGTTCAGTGTCAATACTAAAATTTTTTTAGTATTTTGTGAAATATTTGCTCTGTTCAAAGCCATTTTCAAAAGTGAATAAATACAAAAGATTACAAAGCTAATTTAGAATTTTAGAGATCTGTACGGTGAAAAATAATTTAATTTCTGTTATTTCCATCTAATCATATTTAGAGACCTGCTTTATTATTTCCAATGGAGTTAAACTAACGAGAAATAGAGGTAAAACTACATTTTTGATTTTTTTTCGTGATTTTGTTTTAGTTTATTGGGAGAAAATAATTTATCGACTACTAAACCCTGTGTGATTTTTCTTTTGATTCATGTCATGGAACTATTCTCGATGATTTATATGATTTTGCAAATCATTACGTTTTTTCTCTACTAATGGAACTTTCTATTCATAGGATTTTCTCTTTTTTTAGTACATTTCATGAAAAACAAACACTTGCAAAAAGCTTCATTTAGTAAAAGTAGAATTTCACTCAAAAGAAGAGTATCATGACCGAGCTGAATAAGAAACTAATTATGGCAAACCTAGAAACATGTTTTATATTCAGACAAAGGAAATGCTTCATAGAATTGGGTTTTTGAAAATATAGAAACGCTTTGATGCGCCAACATAGGACTCAACATTGAGTTACATTTAACACAAGCCATGTCTTATGTGAGTTAGATAAAAATAGAGAGCATTGTTCTTGTCGCCAAAAAACATTTCTTCTGCAAAATTCTTGTTCGGTAGACGAGTTTAGATTTCTGGTATTAAGTCTTATTCTTTTATCCATTGGTCTTAGCCAACGATAAAATCAATCGTATGCACATGCGCATTAATACGAAAACTTGTTGACATGATTTACACCTCATAGCGCTTCAAAGCATTTAATCAAAGCTATTATAAATCGTAGTTGCATAATTAAACCAGATTTTCATTCTCACTCTTCTCATGGCCCCCTTTTCTCTAAATTATGGCCTATTTCCAAAAGTGCTACGAATGTTCCTACCAAAGAAAATAGAATGTGATGTGAAAATACCGTCATTGGCATCAACTGTGCTTGTGGCTCGTGATGCAAATTTGATCATATACTGGTTCGTCTCCCCGACGATTACCCATCAAAAGTTGGACAAAAATTATTTCGATTCATGTTGTTCAAGAAATCTTATCACTCAAATGTATTTTCAAACTTTTTCCTGTTTTCTAATTGCAGGCATCTATTTGACGAAGTCGGCATTTGTTGTTAAATTATTTATTATATTGGGTTTTGCTTACTAAGGTTTTTGATTGTTTGGCAGCATTCCGTTCATTAGGCAACGTCATGTTGATTGGCACTTCCTATGGGAAGAAAGCAGACCCATAAGAACCCTAGCAGATTCTTCTGTCAATGTATATGGATGCATTAAAGATTTATGCACAACCGGCATGCTTAGGGCATGGCATTTCAAGCAGTACGATAATAGTACAGAATACTGTCATTAGGCCGGGCTTTTGAATTATAGTCGCAAATTGCAAGTTCCTTTCAGGATTTATGCAATTTTTTTATTTTTTTATTTTATTTATTTTTGTTTAAGTTTTTTTTATTTTTTTAATTGGGTGTTGGGCAGAATTACCATTTTTGACTATTTCTGTCCATTTCATCACAACATTGTATCTAAGCAATTTTGTTGTAAAAATGACATGTTCAACCTTTGGCGGAGAAGCTTCCTCTCTTCTTTGTGAGAAGGGGGCAAGTTTTGTTTGTTATATCGAATATCGATAAGAGTGTTTATGGAGATAACATTAATGCTCTTGTTGTGTATTTCTTTAGGCTCCCACATTGATGATGGCAACCAGCCACTATCTGTATAAGCTATGTAGCTTTCATAGCAAAAATAGCTAAAAAATTAGGGTCATTCTTCTTCAATAGAAGATAAATCAGTTTTCTAAATTTTTAAAAAGCCTTTTTCAAAATGATATTTATATAATTTCCTATTGATACTTCTTCACTGCTTTGCACATAAAAGATTAGACAACGTCAAGCAAAGGTGTTGTGTTTAGAGGGATTTACAATCCATCTTGCCTATCATCACACATCTGTCAAATAGTTTCAGAAGAACTAGTAAGATTTTTTGTTCGTCCAATCAAAATACACGCTTTTTAAGGAATCCCTTTATAAGGAACCTACATGTAGAAGGCAGAAAAAAAATCAAAGTACCGTTAGTACAAAATCCCTAAGTAAAAATTTATTTTTTGAATGCTCTCATCAGTGC